TTGTGTGTGTGTGTGTGTTATAATGCTTTATAGTATGCCAAAATACGATATTTCAGTATCTAGCATTTCTCCGACAACCGAATGCCGACGCACCTTGTACTCGGGACTTATTGTGGGTATGGTATGACACAGTCGTGTGGTAGGAAAAGCACCTACCAAAGCGAGGATATTCTCACATCCTTCCAGGGGCAACCGAGTACAGACACATTGACATTTCCTCCATTACAAAGGGAAGGGAATAGAAAACGGGGGGTTACAAAGGGGTGGGGCATATGACGACTAGCCATCGATCAACAACACGTTAGTGAACTCGCTGAATCGCTTATTATAATTTTAGCAAAAGATAGTATACGTTGATAGTGGTCAGGAAGCTAAGTGCTCTCTGAAACACGCGGGCGGATCTGTATATGATCACGTCGTAGCCGAATCCAGAATAGTAGGGTGATAATTGCTAACTCCACACAGCCGAGTCGCAGGCTTAGGCATGGGTGGAAACAAAGTTGATAAAGCAGCACAAAGACGTTGTTACACAATTTGATAAGGGAAGGGAATAATGGTAGGAGGAAGCAAAAAATTTCCACGGTGGTTGTCACAATAAAGATCAAGGAAGCACCGAGAAGTAAATCTGAAAAGGTAAAGATGCGGTGGGAACGTCGCGATACTTTCAGACAAGGAGGGAAGAACGGTATGTTACGGATCCTCAAAAACTCTGCATCTGGAAGGATGGCCGTGGTACCCTTGCAAGAAATGACGAGGCTAATTATACATATATTCTGACACACATCACAAAGCAAGCTTTCAGAAACAAATCTGCAAGCAGACTTCTCACACGAAAAGTACAGGAATGGAGGAGAGAAAAAGATCAGAAGGGAAAAGGACTCAACAGCCTTTAATCTAAAACTTTTGATTGGCACTTCAAAAGATTGAATCGGATTAAAAAGTCGTAATACTACGTTTCGATCTACAGAGGGCCAGGATTCCCAAGACAAAGAAGAAGCAAGAATGGGAGGCAGGGAGAAGAAGAAAAAAATGGGGGAAACAAAAAAACGAAAAAAAAAAAAAAAAAAATGAAAAAAAGGGGGAGAGGAGACAAGAAACCTGCACCGTGTCATTTCGAGTCCTAATTTCTGCGTCCATGCGCAAAGGACATCTTTGCAGATCCACAGGCGGGGTGGCACATCCCTGAGGCCTTTCTGCCGCCTGCCACTGGCGGCGGCGTCAGAGGGGAGACCTTCCTTTGTCGTCGGAAGGCTGAGAGCAAGACGAAGTCCGAGGGGAAGGGGAGGAGGGGGGCGGGACAGGATATTTGTAGTGGGGTTGTGTTGATGATCCAGCGCTCGTGGAAAAACATGGTGAGCGCGAACTGCGAGGGGGAGTTGAGGCGTCGTGACCTGGTGCCTGGATCGTTTGCAGGGTGGGCATTGCATGGGGGGGAGGGGGTGCGAGGGATTGTGAAGGCACGCCTGCGTTGGGGAGGCCTGTGAGGAAGAAGAGGAGAGCAAGCAGGGAGAGGAGCGCAAGGTACGCCAGGAACGCGCTCGCTGAGAGTTCCATGGCCGTTCTTTCTCGCCCCTCATCTAGCGTCATTCTCATAGAGCCTCCGCCAACCTGCTGCGTGGTCCTTGGTGAACAGATCCATCACGTCACCAAATCACGCAGGAGCAGCGCGGCGACAATGAGAGTCAGGGTACAGAGAGCGCTGAGGGCGGCAAAGAAGAAAGCGGCGGCTCGAATAAGAAGGGCGAAGTTGCGCGAGCGAGAGAGCCTAACACACTCTAATTGGCAGGCCCAGCAAAGCAGCGCGCTGATCAGGAAATTGGGGACGAGTGCTAAGCAGAGTGTGAGAGCGCAGAGCAGCGTGAGAAGAGACAGCGGGTCCAGCCCACTAGGCTTCATGGTAGCGCGGCAATGATAACCCTTCTTCAGACTCGATGAAGTCCTCCTCGCAGTCCGGATCGATATGAAAGTCCATTCCGGCGCCTAGACTTGCCAACACTTGGGAAAACACCGATCAACCTTGAAAATGTCGCGATCCCTTCGATTAGTGACTCTGCAGAGCACAGTCTCTCGTGGTTCCGTTCGAGGACTCGAAGCGATAGGAAGTGTCACCCTTAGCCAAACCAACCTGCTTAAAAAGGATCGGTCGGTTGTAGTCACATTGAAAAAGAGGCGCGTGCAGGCGCTGTCACTCTTTGTGTCGGACCCGCCGGGATGGCGGTCCGACAGGATGGAGACGAAGGGTGGACGAAGGAGGAGACAAAGATGGAGCTGGAAGGGACAACGCAGCTCCGACGCAGACTCAACACGCACGTACTCCAAGATCTGCCAAAGTGAAGAATGGCAAAAAACAGACAAGTGCTGGGGTATACCCCCAACGAACTAACTGACTGGACTGGACTGGCCTGGTACCGACAGTGGTACCGGGCAGGACTAGAACAGCACACGGTATGTAGGGTCAGGCCACGACCTGGTCCCACAGGCCGAACTGGGCAAATAGCCAAATAGGCCCTGGCTGTAGGCCAGGGCAGATGAAGGTCCGCTGCACGATCCTCAGACCTGTAACCGATCGAAAGAGTCATAAACATGCTATCCGCAAAAGCAGCGGAACTCTGCAATAAAGAAAACTGAGAAATCTAGGATGCGGAGCAAGCTCCATGCGGAGTCCATGCGATGCATCCTAAGCTACATAATGTCACAAGAAAAGCAAATGTCTGGTATACATACATATTCTAGCTAACAGCAGAAAATGAAAAAATGAAATGTAGTATGATACAATCCTAAAGTCCTGGAGGCAGTGGCCTCAGTGCTGAAAGGAAAAGGGCAATATGTCACTAGATAATCTCATGTCGCTGAACCACTAAGAGTGGGATGGTCTCAGAGTAGGGGAATGCAGCCTAAGAATCGAAACTCCTAAGGGCAGTCACACATGAAGGTGGGATAGGTCATCAAGCTCAAGATGGGAGAGTGGTAGCGAAACAAAACCAATGACCCTAACAGATAGACCATCAAGGCAAGTAATGCTCGACAAAAGGGTGACACCATGCAGGGTCGATCATGAAAAGGGACAGCCTGGAATAGGGTGGAGCTATGCCGAACTGGAGGCACGCAATAGCCGGCGCTAGGGTGATGAGGGGAGTGGGTGAGAGAAACATGCACACGACTCACCGACTGGGAGAGGGAGCTAGATCTGGGAGCAAGGAAGCCAAGAGAACGCTACGGTCCCAATGCCTATGCGATACCAAGGGAGAGTCAAACTCAAAGAGACCCAACTAAGTGAGAACCATCATGCGACAGAGGCAAGGGAGTATACAGGGTAGGATGGTGACGTGAAGTAGTCATGTCCAAAGTAGTTGAAGTCGTTGAAGTGGTCGATGACGTCGATGAAGTAGCAATCGAGTCGATGTCGAAGCAGAGCTGCAAAACGCTGTTGTAAGTGCTCGAGGTGCTCCCAAGTAGTCTCCTCATCAAGGATGCCCTTCCAACGCACAAGGTACTCGATGCGTGGAGGGGTATCGTCGATAACTCGGCGTGATACGATGTCGGAAATAACGAACTCCTCGTGACCGTCCACCATGATAGGTGGAGGGCGCTCATAAGGGCGTCCGGCGAAGCGCTCGGACGGTCTGCGATAAGGACGTAGCAAGGAGACGTGGTAAACATCGTGTACGCGAGCCTGTCGAAGGTAATCAGGTAGTTTCACACGGAAGTTGACCGGACTAGCGGCAGTATCAAATCCGACGGCCTGAAGGACGCGGCATGGACCGAAGAAACGACGCCTGAACTTGCGAAGCGTATCTGCTTCGAGCTGTAAGTGGCATGCGTCAACGAGCACATCGTCACCGACTTTGAATGGATGATCCATTCGTGATAGGTTCGCTCGTGCGGCCATGCGAGTCTGGGAGTCGGCTAAACTCTCGTGTGCGCGCTTCATAATCGCCGCCATGTGGGCGATCCAATCGTCAAGAGCAGAGCAACGAGTGTCTGGGCGCAACCGCGATGGTCGTAGGAAATCCGCGGGTACGCGAGGGTGGTAGCCGAGGTTGCAATAGAATGGTGACATCCACGTAGCTGGCGAAACAGCGTGGCTGTACGCAATCTTCGTGTGCGCTAAGTGTAAGTCCCACTGCTGGCCATCCTTAACAAACTTTCGGAGGATATTACCGAGAGTTTTATTGGTGACCTCAGTCTTACCATCCGTCTGAGGGTGGTAAGACGATGAGAAGCGGAGCTGGGATCCGTACACCTCGTGTAGGCGTCGCCAGAATGTGCAGGTAAAGCGCGGGTCACAGTCGGAGATGATGCTCTGAGGTAAGCTGTGATCTCTCACGACTCAGTCGAAGACAATGTCGGCGACCTCATGAGCGCTAATGCGATAGCAGCACGGGACAAAACGTGCACGCTTCGTGAAGCGATCGACGACGACAAGATAGCATCATGACCGCGCTCAGTGGATGGGCGGAGGGGACAAATGAAATCCATCGAAATGGACTGCCAACGACCCTCAGGTATGGGTAGGGGTTGAAGTAACCCATACGGAAGGTGGTTCGCACTGTTCACCTCCTGGAAGGTAGGACACTCCTGGATGTAGGCTTTGACAAAGTCCTTGGACTTCGGCCAGACGTATAGGCGGCAAACACGAGCCAACCTCTTGTGGAAACCCATATGACCGGCAGCTGTTTGGTCATGGAACTCTGCTACAGCCTGGACGCGGAGCTGTCCGGTGGAGGGAACGCAGATACGTGGTTCTAGCTGACGAGATCTGCCATGCTTGTACACGAGGCCGTTCCCCCGAGGAAGTAGGAAGGAACGGTCTTGCCACTCCGCAGTGTCGCGTGGATGACGAGATAATCGGGGTAGTGGCGGTACTGAGTGCGATACACGTCGATCACCGACTGATCAATAGTGGTGATGGAGATGGCAGCAAGATGAATGGGTTCCTGATTGTGATCAGGACGGCGGGACAAGGCGTCGGCGACGCGGTTCGTTTCACCCTTGATGGGCTGAGTGGTGAAACTGAACTCGGATAAGTCACGCCACCAGCGTGCCTGTCGAGGGGAAAGCTTAGGCTTCGTGAGGAAAGCCTGGACAACTGAGTTGTTCGTGCGCACCGTGAAGGGCGCCCCGTGCAGATAATGACGCCAATGCCGGGTAGCATAAACTACTGCGAGAACCTCACGTTCATCAGCAGTGTAGTTTATCTCGGCAGGCAGTAGCTGATGGAAGTAGAAAGTGATCGGGCAATCCCCAGCACGAGCCTCGACAGTCCCATCCTCCGCGATGGTCGGGGAGTAAGTAACAAGAGGACTGTCAGTGGAGGGAAGTGGTGGGAGGGTAGGCGTCAGTCAAGAAGCAGTGTCAGCAGGAGGGGGGGGGGAAGGAGGAACATGGGGGTAAGGTGAATCTGTAGGAGAGGGAAACACCTGAGAAAGGACAACTGTTCCTGCAAAGTCTGACGCATCGGTGGTGACGATAAAGGGACGATCAAAATCAGGAAGGCGAAGAACCGGCGCACAGGTCACCGCCTTCTTGAGGGCGCGAAAGGCGTCCTTGCACAGGGGTGTCCAAAACCACGGCGGGTTCTTCCGAAGGAGGGTAGAGGTAAGGACGTAGGAATACCTATCGTATCCCTGGATAAAATTACTATAGTAGCTGGTGAGGCCTAGGAAACTACGACGCTGCTTGGCAGATGTGGAGACGGGCCACTCTGCAATAGCAGTGATCTTCGCGTCGTCCATGTGGAGACCTTGGTCAGACACATGGTGTCCTAGAAAATCCACTTTGCGCTGGGCAAAGCGGCACTTACTAAGCTTGGCATAAAAGTCATGCTTGCGTAAGCGCTGTAGGACATCGCTAGGGTGTCTGAGATGGTCTTCTAAGGTACGACTGTAGACCAAGATGTCGTCCAGGTATACGAGAATGTATTCTTCAAGGATGTCTCTGAAGATGTCGTTCATCGCCGTCTGGAAGGTGGCGGGTGCATTGGTGAGGCCGAATGGCATCACCGTGAACTCGTAGAGGCCGAAGCGCGATCCAAAGGCGGTCTTCGGCTGATCCTCTATGGCAACGCGGATCTGGTGGTAACCGCTACGAAGATCGATCTTTGTGAAGAAGCGGTTGCCTGCCAGACAGTCAAACAGCTCATCCGCACGGGGCATGAGATAGATGTTCTTAACCGTGTAACGGTTAAGGCCGTGGTAGTCGATGCAGAGGCGGAGAGTTCCGTTCGCTTTGCGAGCAAAGAGGACAGGTGCACCCCAAGGGGAGTTACTGGGTTTAATGAAACCCAGTCGAAGGAGCTCCTCAAGCTGACGCTTCAGTTCCGTCGCCTCTGGAATCCAGAGTCGGTATGGTGCCTGATGGTGAACACAATAGTCAGGCACGAGTTGGATGGAATGCTCGACACCGCGCATCGGGGGAATCCCGCTGTATGAGAAATTGAGGGGGAAGACGTCGCGGTACTCTCGAATCAGGTCGCGAACAGGACTCTAAGTCTGTCGTGAACCGTGTGAGTTTCTGAGCATCTGCGTCAGCACGAGACGTATGTGTGGACTCGACAGTCGACGGCGCAGCGGCCTGAGACGTGGAGGAGGTATCCGCAGGCTAACGAGTGGATGTAGAGATGAGAGCCGCGAAGATGGAAGGAGGGTCAGGGGGATCCGGCTCCAGAGAGATGAGCTCAACCTCGGGACTGAGTGGATCGTAGCGAAGAAGATCCATAACGTTAAGTGAGTAGAACGTGACGTCCTCTTGTCGTATAAAGTGAGTAAATTGACGAGGGGAAGTGAACGCGATGTTGGGGTGGGACCCTGAGGGACGAGGGTCCTGGGGAGGTAGGTCGGGCGGGGTGTCGCCCGTGGTTCCAATGAACGGGACGCGATGGGTCTGACCACACTTCGTTTTGAGAACGAGTGTCTCGGTCGCCCATTCGGCCTCTGTGCCACGGCACCGGCGAGACCAGGGAGTGCCAAGGATAAAGTCGTACCCAGTCTCCAGCACATCGAAGTATGAGGAGGAATGGTAGCGCCTAGGCGTCTGGGTACTATCCGATGGCTGGAGGGTGAGGGAGAAGTGGAGGTCGGGGACCGTCTGAGCAAAGAAGCGTTGCATCTTGTTATCTCCAAGGGTAACAGAGATAGGAGAGCGAGACCCAGAGGTAGCTAGACGAGCTTCCTCAACCACGCGAGGGTGAACGAAATCTCCTTGCGAGCTAGAGTCCCATAAAGCGCGGTACACCCGTGTAGATGTCCCTAGGCGAATAGGGATAATGGGTAGGGTGCGATCAAGGTCAGAGAGCGAGGCGAGAAGACGACGCAGGACGTTGATGTATCTCGTGAGGCGCTCCTGACGAGCCTGCAGAATGCTCAAGTCCAGGAGAGATGACACAACGTCATCGCGAGTCGTCAGCTGAGCGCTACAACGGGTTGTGCAAATGGCGCGACACGTCGGAAGTCTCGGGGGAGAAGCGCTAGATGCGGCGGTCTGCTGGGAGGCAGACGGTACCTCGACAGACTATGGGGCAGAGAGAACTGCGTCTGTCGTGTCCTGAGGGTCCTCTGGTGGGGTAGCCAAAGAGGCAAACTGCGACTCGGTGGTCGGAAAGCCGGTTACGTGTGAGGCCTCAGGGGCACGCTGCACCGTGGCTAGGTGGATGGGGTTGGCCAGGCGGGGCCGGGGGGGGACTTAGATCGACGCTGGCGAGAGATGTCAGCGTAGTGCCGATCGAGGGCGGTATGGTATGGACACCGTGAGGAGATGTGTCCATCTAGGCGGCAACAAAGGCAGCCGCGCCGGGCCTCGAGGGCGGCACGCTCCTCAAGGGGTAGAGCTCTGCGAGGAGAGACATAACCCTGCGGAAGGTGTATCTGAGGAACCGTGGGTGTGCGAGCGCCAGCCTGTGCAACCCGACTACGAGAACGACCCATGGCAGACATGGCCATCAGCAAGCGCTCGGCCACCGGAACATTGTCGTCATCCAAGTGATATTGGATGACGTCTCGTAGTTCGATGTCCTCAGGGGCGTCCCCAAGGGTAGGGTCAAACTCGGTCGAGGGGTCCGCGCCGTACTCGAGAGAGTGGCGCTCCAGGGTGGGCTGGTCGACGAAACCGGCCAGCGAAGGAGGATCGACCGCGAGTAGCACCACGTGACTGGGTGGCGGCAGCAGTGGATCGCGAAGAAGATGGGGTGTCGAAGAAGCGATTCCGCATCTTCTGGTACTGTTCAGCAGCCTCGTAGGCTTGCTCGGCGAAGGCGAAGCACTGTCGCCAGAGCTCGGTACGGTAGTCAGTCGGGAGACTGACTACGAACCTGTTGGTCAAAAGGGCCTCAGGTAGGAGTGCCTCATCGCAAATGAGGCGGGCATCCTAGAACACTCTGATGTGACGCTCAAGATCGGAAGGTGTGGAGGACCCGCGCCACTGCGTCTGGGTGACCCGGTCTAGGGCGTCGGTCGCATCGTGGAGGGTGTTGTAGCGGTCGTGGAGGAACGAGGTGAAATCCGCGAGAGTGGGCGCCTCACCTGCACGAGTACGATGAGTATAATAGTTCTCCCAAGCGGAGAGTGCACTGCCTCGTAATTTAGTTGCGAGGGCGGAACACCACAAATACTGACTAGTGTTAGTCAGTGTCAGCGCGCGTGTGGCAGCCTGTAACCAGTGCGACACACGCATCGTACCATCGTAGTCAGGTATGTCCGACAAACGCACAAGGGTGCGACTGCTGTGGTGGCGGCGAGGGGAGAGGGGCTGATGGGTCTGCACTACGGCGGAAAATGTCGGAGTTGGTGCACAAGTAGAAGTGGGGGCTGGCGGTGAGCCGGGGCCGCTGGTGGAAGGTCCAGCGGGCGTGGAGGTAACAGCCGCAGCCGACTGTGACGGAGTAGCAAGGTAGGAGGGTAGAGGGGGGGGAGCCGGTCGAGGGAAGCAAGCCGGCAGGACAGTGGTGGGCGGGACGGTGTAAGAAGAAGAAGGGTGCGCAGCCTGTGGAGGGTGAGACTGTCTAAGGGAGAGAATCTCCGCCTAGAGTTGCGCCACAGTGGCTTGTAGGGTAGTCACTTGCTGGGTGCGCGGGGTCGGGGTTGGAGGAGGCGGAGGGAGTGCCCTAGCAGGGAGAGGAAGAACTCCGGGCCGAAGTACCGTAACTGGTGCAGGAAGCTGCGACGCAGCACCGGGGTGGGTAGATGAGACTGCCTGGCCCGATGTCGGTATCTAGGCGACAGCACATCCGGCGGTGGCCGAAGCGGCAGGGGCGGCGGAGGCGGCGGCGACCGATGGGTGTACCGCCACAGACGGTGTGGTCTGGGCGACAGCAACACTCACCACTGGGGCGGGGGAGTGCTGGGCCTGGCCCACAGATGAGGACGAACCGCCACGTCTCCGTCTCTGGCGTCGTGGAGAGCCAGACTCCGAGCTGGTAGGCGATGGGGTCTGAGAGCAGCGAGGGGACCGATGAGGGGAACCCTTGAGGTGGTGAACTTCAAGGGCGAGCGCATTAACTTGCGTCTCCAGGGGTGCAAGCGCATCGAGCCGCGCTTGCAGAGGTGCAAGGAGGGATGCAAGAACAGCGCGAAGGTCCGTGGGGTCCACACCATGCTGACCCTGGACCGTGAGGTGGGTGGACGCCTGAGAGGTGGATGGCACCGCAACGATCTCCTCCACTGTAGCCATGTCCGTGGATGGTGGAGGAAGAGAGGTAGACATGGTGGGCGGTGGGGGGAGATATGGGTTGTGGTATGGGGACAGAGGACCACCGGTGAGAGGGAGAGGACCGCGGGAGCGGCGTGGGTAGCCGTGGGTCGGCTCGCCGCGTGACCAACGGGTCGCGCGTGAGATGGTGACGCGAATCCGGTCTAAGGGAGAGGAGCCGTTCGGGTCCAGGGTGCTTGACGGGAGGAGATGGGAGAGTAGGGGGGGTTAGGGAAACCCTAAACCCTAGAAAAACCCTAAGGAAACCCTAATCGGAGTTTAGAGGGTTAGGGGAAGGTGGCGTTGACCTAACCAAGAAAAAAAAATAATAAATATGGAGGGGAGGGAGAATAGAGTAAACAGTGGATTTTCGAGATAAAAATAAAATAAAAGAATAAATAGAAATAACTAAATAAATAAAATGTAAAGATTGAGGAGAGAAAGAATATTTATTTTTTTGGAATTCTCGGCAGCATTTTCCCACCCCGCATGGGGTAAAAAAAGTGCCAAGAGGAAGGAAAGTGCAAAAGGGATACACTAACTTTCAAAAGGCCGCAAATTAAAATTTTCAAAAAAATAAATGAGTAAATAAAGAAATAAATAAATAAAGAAGGATGTGGAAGAGAGTGAAGAGAAGTTAAGTCTTGGAATTTTTCAAAAATTTAGGCAGCATTTCGTTACCCCCATGGGGTCGAAGTGTACCGTCAAGAAAAAGACTAGGTAGAATGGAAAAATTTGGCCAGCGCTTCGCTACCCCCAAGGGGTAAAAATGTGCGCCGACAACAAAGAAAGACTGAGTCCTATCAAGATATAGAGGTGCCGCAGAAAATTTCAAATTCTTAAAATAAATAAATAAATAAATCAAAAAATAAGAAAAGAGGTAGGGAATAAGATGATTCAGATTTTTGGAGGAAAAGAGAAATTTTACATCAAGAGAAAGAGAAAAGAAAAGAAAAAAAGGGTGGAAAAGTGATGAAGAAAGAGAGAAAGAAGTGAGAAGAGAAAGAAAAAGGTAAGGTGGGGGAGATGATGGGGTTGTCGTTGGGGGAGGGAAGGAGGAGAAGAGGGTGGTGAAATGGGAGAGAAGGATATGAAAAAGGTGGAGAAGAGTACATGAGATTAGTGAGAAATTGTGAGTGGGGAGGGGAGGAGAGAAAAAGGTTGTGGAAAATGGGTAGAGAGGGAGGTAGGAGTAGAGAGTAATGGTAGGAGGGAGAAAAGGTGATTAGATGATGGGGGGAAAAAGAGAAAAGAGGTTGGGGGAGAGTGGGTTAGTGGCAGGGTGGTGATACCAGGCTCTTGGGTGGCCAAGAGCAAAGTTCTACCAAGATCCACAGGATCTTGACCTTCAAGATGCTGCTGGTGTGATGCCATAGCAGTAATGGTGATGATGGAGGGTTGGCTGAGATCTTGATCAGCCACCCTACTGCCACAGTCACACAGCCCCCTAGCCAGGGGGAAATCTTGAAATGTTGCCAAACTGCTGCTGCAACAGTGTAGAGATAGTGAAAAAAGAAAAAAAAATATATATATATATATATGTTTGTGGCGCAGCCCCCTAGCGAGGGGGGTCTTCAACAGGTGTCCAAATAGCTTCGCAGCAGCACGCTGTTCGCTGCTCGCCGACGCAGGGGGCGGGGGGGGGGGGGTTAAATAGCTGGTGTGGAACTGTTCAACACGAACGTTCCACACTATACAATCATGCATACAGTTTGGCCAGTGTGTTATAGCACTGGCTACGCACGCGCATGAGTGATGCCTGCCCAGGTTCA